TTATTATTACTGATGTATCATTGACATATAACAATTTGTAAGTTTAAGATGTACAATGTGTTGGTTTGATATATTTATACATTACCATATGTATAGTGTTAGCTAACTCCTCTACCACCTCCCACAATTACTAAGTCCTCTTTGTGGTGAGAACAATTAAGAACTAGTCTCTTAGCAACTTTGAAGTTTGTAACACAATGTTGTTGACTATAATACATTTATAATATAATGTTGTTAACTATAATCACTATGCCTACTTTAGATCTCTAGAACTCATATCTGCCAGTTACAAGTTTGTACCATTAAACATCTTCTTAATACCATCCGACTAAGCAGTTTTTGACCACATGAGAATAATTATATAATAAGAAAAAAATGACTGAAATGGACAAATCATCTAAGCAAAAGATCAACAAGGAAATAAAGACTTTAAATGACACACTGGGGCGCCTGGGTGGCTCAGATGGCTAAGCGTCTGCCTTCGGCTCAAGTCATGATCCCAGGGTCCTGGGATTGAGTCCCGCATCAGGCTCCCTGCTCCTTGGGAGCTTGCTTCTCCCTCTGCTTCTCTCTCTCTCTCTCTCTCTCCCTCTCTCTCTCTCCCTCTGTCTCTCATGAATAAATAAATAAAATCTTTAAAAAAATAAAATAAAATAAATGACACACTGGACCAAATGGACTTCACAGACATATTCAGAACATTCCAACCCAAAGCAACGGAATACACATTCTTCTCTAGTGCCCATGGAACATTCTCCAGAATAGATCACATCCTAGGTCATAAATCAGGTCTCAACCGGTACCAAAAGATTGGGATTATTCCCTGCATATTTTCAGACCACAATGCTTGGAAACTAGAGCTCAATCACAAGAGGAAAGTCAGAAAGAACTCAAATACATGGAGGCTAAAGAGCATCCTACTAAAGAATGAATGGGTCAACCAGGAAATTAAAGAAGAATTAAAAAAGTTCATGGAAACCAATGAAAATGAAAACACAATGGTTCAAAATCTTTGGGATGCACCAAAGGCTGTCCTAAGAGGAAAGTACATAGCAATACAAGCCTTTCTCAAGAAAAAAAAAAGGTCTCAAACATACAACCTAACCCTACACCTAAAGGAGCTAGAGAAAAAACAGCAAATAAAGCCTAAATCCAGCAGGAGAAGAGAAATCATAAAGATCAGAGCAGAAATCAATGAACTAGAAACCAAAAGAACAGTAGAACAGATCAACGAAACTAGGAGCTGGTTCTTTGAAAGAATTAACAAGATTGATAAACCCCTGGCCAGACTGATCAAAAAGAAAAGAGAAACGACCCAAATCAACAAAATCATGAATGAAAGAGGAGAGATCACAGCCCACACCAAAGAAATACAAACAATTATAAGAACATATTATGAGCAACTCTGTGCCAGCAAATTAGATAACCCTGGAAGAAATGGATGCATTCCTAGAGATGTATCAACTACCAAAATTGAACCAGGAAGAAATAGAAAACCTGAACAGACCTATAACCACGAAGGAAATTGAAGCAGTCATCAAAAATCTCCCAAAAAAGCCCAGGGCCAGATGGCTTCCCAGGGGAATTCTACCAGACATTTCAAGAAGAATTAATACCTATTCTCCTGAAACTGTTCCAAAAAATAGAAATGGAAGGAAAACTTCCAAACTTGTTTTATGAGACCACAATTACCTTGATCCCAAAACCAGACAAAGACCCCATCAAAAAGGAGAATTACAGACCAATATCCTTGATGAACATGGATGCAAAAATTCTCACCAAAATACTAGCCAATAGGACCCAACAGTACATTAAAAGGATTATTCACCACGACCAAGTGGGATTTATCCCTGCGCTGCAAGGTTGGTTCAACATCCGCAAATCAATCAACATGATACAATATATTAACAAAAGAAAGAACAAGAATCATATGATCCTCTCAATAGATGCAGAAAAAGCATTTGACAAAGTACAGCATCCTCTCTTGATCAAAACTCTTCAGAGTATAGGGATAGAGGGTGCATACCTCAACATCATAAAAGCCATCTATGAAAAACCTACAGCGAATATCATTCTCAATGGGAAAAAGCTGAGAGCTTTTCCCCTAAGGTCAGGAACGCGGCAGGGATGTCCACTATCACCACTGCTATTCAACATAGTATTAGAAGTCCTAGCCACAGCAATCAGACAACAAAAAGAAATCAAAGGCATCCAAATCAGCAAAGAGGAAGTCAAACTCTCACTCTTCGCAGACGATATGATACTGTATGTGGAAAACCCAAAAGACTCCACCCCCAAACTGCTAGAACTCATACAGGAATTCAGTAAAGTGGCAGGATATAAAATCAATGCACAGAAATCAGTGGCATTCCTATACACCAACAAGTCAGAAGAGAGAGAAATTAAGGAGTCAATCCCATTTACAATTGCACCCAAAACCATAAGATACCTAGGAATAAATCTAACCAAAGAGGCAAAGGATCTGAACTCAGAAAACTATAAAATATTCATGAAAGAAATTGAGGAAGACACAAAGAAATGGAAAAACGTTCCATGCTCGTGGATTGGAAGAACAAACATTGTGAAGATGTCGATGCTACCTAGAGCAATCTACACATTCAATGCAATCCCCATCAAAATACCATCCACTTTTTTCAAAGAGATGGAACAAATAATCCTAAAATATGTATGGAACCAGAAAAGACCCCAAATAGCCAGAGGAATGTTGAGAAAGAAAAGCAAAGCTGGCGGCATCACAATTTTGGGCTTCCAGCTCTATTACAAAGCTGTCATCATCAAGACGGTATGGTACTAGCACAAAAACAGACACATAGATCAATGGAACAGAATAGAGAGCCCAGAAATGGACCCTCAACTCTATGGTCAACTAATCTTCGACAAAGCAGGAAAGAATGTCCAATGGCAAAAAGACAGTCTCTTCAACAAATGGTGTTGGGAAAATTGGACAGCCACATGCAGAAGAATGAAACTGGACCATTTCCTTACACCACACACAAAAATAGACTCCAAATGGTTGGAAGACCTAAACGTGAGACAGGAGTCCATCAAAATCCTAAAGGAGAACACAGGCAGCAACCTCTTCGACCTCAGCCGCAGCAAATTCTTCCTAGAAACATCGCCAAAGGCTCGGGAAGCCAGGGCAAAAATGAACTATTGGGATTTCATCAAGTTAAAAAGCTTTTGCACAGCAAAAGAAACAGTCCACAAAACCAAAAGACAACCGACAGAATGGGAGAAAATATTTGCAAATGACATATCAGATAAAGGGCTATAAAATCTATAAAGAACTTACCCAACTCAACACCCAAAGAACAAATGATCCAATCAAGAAATGGGCAGAAGACATGAACAGACATTTTTCCAAAGAAGACATCCAAATGGCCAACAGACACGTGAAAATGTGCTCAACATCATTCGGCATCAGGGAAATCCAAATCAAAAGCTCAATGAGATACCACCTCACACCAGTCAGAATGGCTAAAATTAACAAGTCAGGAAACGACAGATGTTGGTGGGGATGCAGAGAAAGGGGAACCCTCCTACACTGTTGGTGGGAATGCAAGCTGGTGCAACCCCTCTGGAAAACAGTATGGAGGTTCCTCAAAAAGTTGAAAATAGAGCTATCATACGATCCAGCAATTGCACTACTGGGTATTTACCACAAAGATACAAATGTAGGGATCCGAAGGGGTACATGCACCCCAATGTTTATAGCAGCAATGTCCACAATAGCCAAACTGTGGAAAGAGCCAAGATGTCCATCGACAGATGAATGGATAAAGAAGAAGTGGTATATATACACAATGAAATATTATGCAGTCATCAAAAGGAATGAGATCTTGCCATTTGCAACGACGTGGATGGAACTGGAGGGTGTTATGCTGAGTGAAATAAGTCAATCAGAGAAAGACATGTATCATATGACCTCACTGATATGAGGAATTCTTAATCTCAGGAAACAAACTGAGGGTTGCTGGAGTGGTGGGGGGTGGGAGGGATGGGGTGGCTTGGTGATAGACACTGGGGAGGGTATGTGCTACGGTGAGCGCTGTGAATTGTGCAAGACTGTTGAATCAAAGATCTGTACCTCTGAAACAAATAATGCAATATATGTTAAGAAAAAAAGAAGAAGAAGATAGCAGGAGGGGAAGAATGAAGGGGAGTAAATTGGAGGAGGAGACGAACCATGAGAGACGATGGACTCTGAAAAACAAACTGAGGGTTCTGGGGGGGGATGGGTTAGCCTGATGATGGGTATTAAAGAGGGCACGTTCTGCGTGGAGCATTGGGTGTTATGCACAAACAATAAATCATGGAACACTACATCAAAAACTAATGCTGTAATGTATGGTGATTAACATAACAATAAAAATATAAAGAAAAAAAGAAAAAAACCTATCAGTGGGTAATATGAGGGAACAGTCAACATAAAGAGCAGATTCATCATCTTCCAACTTTTGAAAGCCTTTTATGAGAAGGAGTTAAATCTGCTGTGTCTGGAAGGAGTAAAATGAAAACCAATGTGTGGGAGATAAAGAGAGAGAGAATACAGATCCAAAATAAGAATTAGCAGGTAGAACTGTCCACAAACAGAGACTCATCCAGTAACTGGATGATCAAGCAGAAGGTATGCAATAGAGGACACTTCAGCATCCATGGGGATTAAAAAACATGCTGACCAGGTTCTCCCAAATCTGTTTATGTGTCTCTGGTTTTCACAGAAACTTCCAAATACAAACCAGAATTAATTTGAAGCAGAAACAGCAGCTCAGGGCTCAGCTCCCAAAACTGCAGAAGAACATAGATGCCCAAGGAGAATCAGCCAGGTACAGGATTTCTCAAAAACAAGCTCTATAAATTGGCCCAGAAATAGAAAGCTAACTTCTACCATAGAGAGAAAGAATCTGCCCTTCAGTTCTGGGATTTTGTTGTTGCTGTTGTTCATTCTCATCTTCAGGTAAATTGTCGATATTGAATCCATGACCGAGAATAATCTCACCACAGTAACAGAGTTCATTCTCATGGGCTTTACTGACTACCATATGTTGGAAATTCCCCTCTTCCTGATGTTTCTCATCTTCTATATCATCACCCTTCTAGGAAATGCGGGGATGATCATTCTGATCCAAGTGGATGTCCAACTCCACACCCCTATGTACTTCTTCCTGAGCCACCTCTCCCTGCTGGATGCCTGCTATGCCTCACTCATCACCCCTCAGATCCTGGCCACACCAGCCATAGGCAAGGTGGTCATCTCCTTTGGCCGATGTGCTACCCAGTTCTTTTTCTTCACCATCTGTGCAGACACAGAGTTGTTTCCTGCTGGCCTATGACCGCTGTGTCACTATTAGCAACCCACTGCTCTACACTGTAGCCATGAATCCCAGAATCTGCTGGAGTTTGGTGGTGGAAGCCTATGTCTGTGGGATGTCAGGGGCCATCCTGAGTACCACATGCATCTTCACCCTCTCCTTCTGTGACCACAATCAGATCAACTTCTTCTTCTGTGACCTCCTACCCCTGCTGAAGCTCGCCTGCTGTGACACGACAAACACTGAGATTGTCATTGTCTTCTTTGGCAACTTTGTGATCTTGGCCAATGCCTTGGTCATTCTGATACCCTACCTGCTCATTATCAAGTCCATTCTGATGGTGAAGTCTCCAGGTGGCAAGGCCAAAACTTTCTCCACGTGTGCTTCCCACCTCACTGCTGTGGCCCTTTTCTTTGGGACCCTCATCTTCATGTATCTGCGGAGTGGCTCAGGCAAGTCCCTGGAGGAAGACAACGTCGTGTTTGTCTTCTACACTGTGGTCATCCCCATGCTAAACCCTCTGATCTACAGCCTAAGAAAGAAGGATGTGAAAGTGGCCTTCGGAAAGGTCACTGGTAGACTCCAGGTGTCCCAGAGTGTGTAGATATGAGTGACAGGACCTCTCCTCTTGGTCCATTTTCTTCCCATGTCAATAGATCCTAAGAGGTACCAACACTATATGCAAATCAGACCCATAAATAGACAGAAGGTAGATGGGTATCAGCAGGCAGAGAAGGAAAACTGCAAATATGGTAAAATTCATTTCCAGCAATCCCATGGTGTTTTTTTCTCCTCCCGGCTCTCCTGCCTCCAGTCCATTCCTTAGCACACAACAATCTTATGATACTGTCTGATAGCTTAACTTACAGAATTTCAGGGGTCTGTGGGACTTGAGTTTATCTCATCCCACCCATGTCTTCGCAGCCATGCTTAAGCTTCCATCTTTTCCTTCTCGTTTTTTGCTCCCATTAAACCTACCTTTTTCTGTGTCAGAGATTCTAATTGGGGATTCCAGTGTTAAATGCTAAATAGTCTTTTTTTTTCTTTTAATACACGAGTAACTGATCACGTCAGCAAGCAGGGAGTGCTGTATAAGACAAAACCGAGTCTCCAAATGGCCAAGGGAAGGGAGTGTTTGAGAAAAAGGCCTTCCTCTTCACCATCCTCATCTTGGGACACCACCTTGGGGAGCCTTCCTTCTTGTTCATGCCACAAGGATGGAATTTGCAAACTGCCTTCCCACTTGATGGTTCCCTGGCTTTGTTGCTCCTGCTGTGTAATGTTCCTCTCATATTTCCAAGATGAACTAAGCCACCTTACCTTTGGCTCCTCAAACGCCAACTCCCTAGTTTCTGAAGGACATGATACATTGCACCTCCTCCCCACTCACATTGCCTGCTTCGTGAACAGTCCCTTCCTATCAAGCATCCCATAATTTCCAGGAAGAAAAAAGACAGAGAACAAAGACAAGTACAAGGTAAACATTAAACCACACGTTATCTTCTCTGGAAGAAGGTTTTTGGAGAAAAGAAAGTAACTAATTTCTGCTTGAGATTGCAAAACCCTTCAGGGCAGAGTCTGCTTTGCGTGTTGTGGAACTCAATCCAAGTTCAGGGTCTGGACCAGATGAACTCTTGATAATTGCTTTTGAACAGATTTTTAGGGCACATGCATGATCTCATTTGAGCCTCAGGGAAACTCTGTAAGGCAAATAAGGAAGACAGTGTTGAAGAGAAGATTCCCATTTTGCAGTTAAGAAAGTGTTTTCTCATAGTCCCTTTGGACTTTTGCTCAGAGTTCCTTTGTTCAGAGTATACACTGGTAGACAATGGATGGCTTTCAGAATCAGGCTTGTAACTGAATCCCAACTCTACCACTAATTCGCTGTGAAATCTATAGTAAATGGCTCCATTTCTCAGATCCTCATTTTCCTCAGATCTAAGACAAATATAACAACTCCTAATTCAAGAGCATATTATAAAAAATTTTATGAGGTGAGGGGCACCTGGCTGGTTCGGTCAGAAGAGCATGCAACTCTTAATCTTGGGGTTATAAGTTTGAGCCAACATGGGGTTTGAAATAAATAAATGAGGCGATGAAAAAGAAATCTCCTAGCACAGGGGCACCTGGGTGGCTCAGTCAGTCAAGCATCCAACTCTTGATTTTGGCTCAGGTCACGGTCTCAGGGTCATGAGATCCAGCCCCATGTCAAGCTTTGCGCTCAACGGGGATTCTACTAGAGATTCTCTCTCTTTCTCCCTCTGCCCCTCACCCCTCCACCCTGCTCTCTCACTCTTTCTCTCTCTCTCTAAAATAAATGAATAAATCTTTTTAAAAAATGAAAGAAACAAAGAAACAAAGAAACAAAGAAAGCTCCTAGCACAAACCCATTGTTCAATATATATTGTTCTCTTCCCTCCGCTTTCCCTCAGTTTCACCGTGGGTGTTGTCACAATTCCATGGCCATTAACAAAAATGAAACAGATCACAAACAAGTGTGATAATGAAAGACAGTGAACTGAGAAAGATGAATAACTCAATCCTTTTCACCCAAGAAATAAAACAAACATGGGTATTTAGTTGGGGTGGAGGTGCACTTATCTACAACCCACATGGTCAAGGATAACCAAAAGATGTCTTTTTATTGAATATATTGTTGTGTGCCCAAGGAACCCCTCCACCAGATCTTGATTTTATGAGAAGTTGGTCCTCCATGACCCTCCATATGGGAACAATCATTGTATTAAAATGGCCCACCACCACACCTACAGTTGATTGGTTCAGAAATGAGTACCTGACCCAGTGTAGGTTTAATAAAAATTTTTCCTTGGGCATTATGAAGTTGAACATATAAAAGAGATTCAGAATAGGAGGCCAGGCTGACCAAGGTAGAGCGGTCAAGAGACATACAAAAATGAAGCAGTTATTCAAAGGGAATCAGCAATAACAGACTAAGAAAGAACCCTGGCAGTTTCCATCCCCTGCTTCCCACTGCACTGAGGGGCAGCCACAGTAGTTTCCTTGCTTCCTTAAGACACACTGTGTTTAGTGTTCAGGATCCAACACTAAATTCCCCTTTGGGAACTAGTTCAAGCTTAGTCATGAGACTCAAAGGATACTTGTAGAATTTTAATGGAGAGGAGTTCTTCAGCATATTCTAGTGATCTGCACTCACACACACTGATTCCATCCACCCTTTAAATAAAGAAAGGACTGGGTTTCAGTACCTATATACTTCTATCATACTTTCATTATAGGAGAAACTTCCCCACCTAGAGCTCTTTGCTTAGGTAACCACTGTTCTAGCACTTGACCTTGACCTTCAGGTGATCAAACTAGAAAAAGCCCCTGACCCAGCTTTCATCGATGCATGAAGAGAGTAGAGAGCCATGAGGTGCTCTAGAGCTATACAATGATTATTAAGCAGAACAATATATAAAGTTATCTCCCTCTTGAGGGTCTAAACTGAAAAATATGGGAAAAGATGAAGTTATTTGAGAAAGGAGACTCACAAATTATAATTAGTTATGGAGAAAATGGCTGAGTCATATTAATGGGCAGGCCAGAGAGAAAATGAGCAAATGTCAGGTGCTGAGGAGGCAGCAATATAACCTGGTCCCTCATGCTGCATTAGATCTTTCAGGTCTTGAATTATGTTCCAAAATGAGTTCTAGGGCTCTCTATAGGTCCCGAAGAAATCCCTATCTCCCTTTTGAAGCATAAGAATCTTAGCCATAGACCCACATTTTACTAGATAATCTGAGTGGGTCTCTGTTACAATCTAAACGACGTGGCAACTCATTGCCCTAGCTACTAATAACAAAATAATAATGCTGGTGATAGCTAAGTCTTACAGAGCACTTATTATATGCCAGACACTATTCTAAGAACTTTTGTATGTATGTAACAACCCTATGATGCTTAACAACCCTATGATGTAAGTGCAATTACTATCCCCACTTAGAGATGAGTAAACTAGGACACAGAGAAGTTAAAATAAGTTGCCCAAGGTCACAGAAGCCACAAAAGCCATAGAAGGCCATGATTTGAGATCAGGAAATCTGGTTCCAGAAATTCTACTCTTATCTACTATCTTACATCACCTTTGAATGCCATTTTATACACAACCATCCCTTCTTTGATACAGAATCACTTAAGGGAAAATAGCCTTACTCATTAGGCTCTTTCTCCAGGAATCAGGGGAAAAAAAAAAAAATGGTTTCCCTGCTTTGCAACTGGAAGTCATGTGAAAAGAAAAACATTCAAAGGTTGATGGAGAGGTCTCCACAAGATGAAATAAAATGAAAGACCACTTTAACAAAGAGAGGCTTTTACTTTTCACAAATGCCTATGCACCTGCAGGTTCTTGGCTAAGCCACCAAACGAAAGCTGGAAGAGATTCCCTGTAAAGGACATTCCACGAAGATTCCTTCAGAATATACACTGAGCTGGGCTGAAGAGACCCTATTCTCTGTGACAGCTAGGATGCCACCAGGGCATTTAGGTCAGCACCAGCCATAAGACTTGCCCTAGACAAGGCAGCTCTGTTGACGCTTGACAGAATGAGAGCAACACTGATCTCAGATCTACCTACCAGGCAGTAAGCCCAAGTTCACTTGAGAGAATGAAAGCAACACTGATTCTCAGATCTACCAACCAGGGAGTAAGTCCAAGTTCTCTGTATTCAACTTCTCTGAATAAAAGGAATGAGGTCAGGAGAAACTCATGCCTTCTTCCCAACATCTTCTGCAGACCTACAAAAGAGAAACTGTCTGCACAAATCATTCTTCCCCCTTAATCAACCTACAGGACCTACTTCTTTACTTTATCCAGGTCTCTGTTGAAGTGTTGCCTCATTTTGGAGAAACCTTTCTTGACCACCATATCTAAAATAATAGATACCTTATTGCCAATCATTTCCCATCCCCCTACTCTTTTATTTATTCTTCAAGACATTTAACAATAGTTTGTTTTTAATCCCTGCCCCCAGGAAAATGTTCTTTGTCACCACCCCCATGCAAGCAAAGATTGTCTGCCATTTTTAGTGCATCTTCTGACTCACAGTAGGTGTTAAGTAAATATCTAATGAAAAGCATGAAGAAGATAGAAATGAATAGGACTTCCATTTCTGGCAGTATGGTGGACTAAGGTTTTTCTAACAAGAAACTTTTATATGTACTGAACAACCCTATGATGCTTTAGCAACCCTGAAAAACATGAAAAATAAATAAATAAAAAGGTGAAAAGACACTAAGAAATCAAAGGTTAAACATCTGAGGGAAAATAAGAACCCGGGTGCCTGGGCGGCTCAGTTGGTTGAGTGACTGCCTTCGGCCCAGGTCACGATCCTGGAGTCCCTGGATCGAGGCCCGCATCAGGCTCCCTGCTCGGTGGGGAGTCTGCTTCTCCCTCTGACCCTCCCCCTCTTATGTGCTCGCTCTCTCTCTCTCATTCTCTCTCTCAAATAAATAAATAAAATCTTTGTAGAAAAAAAAACCCTAAGAAGTAAGCAGAATATTGAAACTGTGTCATCAAGAGCATATATATAAGGATATATTAGTTATGTATTGCTGTTAATTGGTAGCTTAGGGGCCCCTGGCTGGC